TAGGGAGATGTACAGTACTACAACGCCCCGCTGTCCATGGCCCGGCGAGAAGCCGTGGGCCTGTTGGCTCCTCCTGGACACGTCGAAGACGAGCAGGATCCTGATGGTCTGCTCCGCAGGTGCGGGACTGGCCGCCTCCCCGTTAGGGACGCTGCCGCCCTCCTTGCCCCTGCCGCCGGTGCGCTACGCGGCGCCGCGGCCCCCGCCGGCCGGCCGGCCGGCCTTGCGAGGCTGTCTGGTCCTGCGGCCCGGCTCCGCCCGGCTCAGAGGCCCGTGGGAACCCAACCACCACGGCTGCTCTGAGCGCCAGCAGCCAGCACTCCGCACACTGCACGCCCATTTGCAGGGCTGCGGCATGAGAGACGGACGACTTTGCAATTGCTGCCGTTGCGGCGGTGCTCTTCCCTCTCTCCTTCTCCTTCCTTCTCTCTCTCTCGTCTATTCTCCGTCTCCCTTCCCCTCCGCCGTGTGCACTACCAGGTGTGTGGAGCCCCCCCCTCCCCCCCCCATGCACCAATTAGCTTTACGCCGCCGGCGTGAGAACCGTGTTAGCGACACCTGTCTGAAGTCTAGTGTTCGCGCGGCACCCACCTATCGGTTCCTCTGGTCGTGCGTGGGAGGAGCGCGATCAGGGCGTGGCCGAGCCGCTGAAACCCCTCAGCGGCCGACGGGTAAGTTGAGACCCGGCCCGCGGCAGCTGTGCTTCGAACGGCCGTGATTTAGGACCGAAAGTCCCCCATACCTCCGTGAGCCTCTCCAAGGAGTCCGCCAGCTCGCCGCGGAGTCAACCACCACACCATAGGCGGCCACCACCACGCCACGCCCACGGCCGTGTGGGAACCGTCGCGGTGGTGGTGCACGGTCGGTATTAAAATGTCGCACATCCACCGCGGCCGCGGTTGGCAGTCTGCGCCGTTGACAAGCCTTTGGCGGAGCCAGCAGCAGCCCGAGCCCGTTCCCTGCCCTTCCACGGACCTGGCAGACGGGACGGGACGCGATGTGCAGGGGACGATAGAGACGGGGACGACACACGGGACGCTGCTGCTGCTGCTGCTCCTGCTGGAGTGCTACGCCACGCTACGCCACGCCACTTTCGTTTTATTTCGCAATGAAGACCTTCCTCGCGATGCCAACTGTGGACTCGATCTTTGCTTCGTGATTAAGTTGGAGCAGCGCGACGACACGAGTGTGTATGTGTGTGTGTGTTTTTTTTTTGTGTGTGTGTGTGTGTGTGTGTGTGTGTGTGTGTGTGTGTGTGTGAGTCGTCTCCCTGCCCCGGAACACTTGCGCGACAAAACTGTATATATGTATCAGTTGCAAGCCTCACCCCCGCACGCACTTCACAATCAATCGCGCGGCCCACACATCGCACTGCGCACTTCATTTAAGTTTCATTGCCGCTTTGTTAAAAGTCGCGGTGCAGCAGCAGCCGGAGAGGGAGGAGGGAGCGAGGCGAGTGTGGCGCTGCTGGGGTTTGATGTATTGATTGATCTGCGACCACCGCGACCGCCGGCGGGGCCGGGCGGGGCCGAGCCACCCCTGGGAGGGACCCCTTACGATATATGTAATGCACTGGGGGAGCAAGTCGCCGGACTGGTTCTGATCAAGCTTCCGTCCGACCGCGGATGTTTGTCGCGTATGTTCTGCGCGTGTAGCCGCGCGGGGTGCGTGTCGGTCGAGCAAGCAGGTGCCTTCCTTCTTCGGGTGTCGAACTTATTTCGCTCACTTCCGGATGGATCCATTCATTTTGATGCTGCTCCATCATTGATATCTTCTTCCTCCGTTTTCTTTTTCATTCTTTCGGGTAAAGGTTTTATTTTATTCACCGCGCCAATGATGCCCGAAGCGGAAATCGAGACTTCCGGCGGCGTGATTCAGATTCAGATCCCCCCCAGCTCGTCGCTTCCGGTCTAAGCCGCCGAGCTGCCCCTCTCGCCGTCGCCGTCCCTTGCGCGCTGAGGTGTCGGCGTCGGCATCCTCTTCTGGCCGCTCACGGCGAACCCTTCTCCTTTTGATCCCCTCCCCCTCCGGGCCTCTGACCGAGCGCGACCTGCATGGATAACTAATGCGTGTGGACATGCCACATCCACGTGTAAAAATAAATATCTCAATTTTGACTTTTTGTTGTCATGGTGTCGATATGGCGAAATCGCGCGAGGTCGGGCCACAGCAAAATTGCTCCGGGCGACCTTCCCTGGAACACTAGAATACTGGAGTATGTACCGTGTGTCCAGTTCCATCTCCCAGGGGAGAGAGCCCGGAGCCGGGAGAGGAGGAGGGGTGAGGGGTGTGGTAGTGCGGAGCCGCGCCACCCCGCGAGTGGTTCCGCTAGTTTTTTACACTCCTCGCGGGAAGGGGAGGAGGAGGGGGGGGGGGTACGGAACGCTTATTAGTCGCATTGTCCTGTGAGGCGGACAAGTGCGCGGCATCTGCGAGGCTATCGAGTGGGTGGCCTTTAAAAGGCTTTGTAATTGATATTAAATTCATGTGGCGCAAAGGAGAGAGAAGGGAGGAGGAAGAGGGAGTGAGACCAAGTCGACCGTGCAGTGGACGGTGCATGCGGACCGCGGAGGAGAGGAGGGTGCTTTTGTCTTTAGCGGGGTGAGCCCGGGGCTTTGGCGTAAAACGCTCAGCGTAACATTTCTGTGGGGGTTGTTCACCGCCTCGGCCTCGCTGAGTCATGGCTCGGACCGCGCGTGGACGCCGCATTGAACAACGGAAAGACTCAGCGCGACGCTGACTGCCTGTATGGCCTGCGTGGCCTGCATGGAGGCGTTCTTTGATCCTGTTGAGACTGAGAAGGGCCTCACGTCCAGCCGATATCCTTTGGAGCGGCGGCATAGCCGTGGAGGTCGGCTGAGAAGGAAAACCGTCATTCCAAAAATTCAAAGTCGTTCGAGATGATTGCGTTATTCCTGGTCGAGCCCTGGGCCGCTGTCCGGTATTTCTTTGCACGTTTTTTTGAGCCTGGCTGCCCGGTGCTGCGTGGTGCACTGTGCGGCTAGGAGGACTAAAGGCCTAATGGCGATGCATTGCTGTCGGGCCGACGCGTCGCCCGGCCTGGTCGGCCCGGTGCTTCGATTGGTCTCGTTAATTTGAGCTGTCTGACCGCCTCGCCGCCGAGATTCTTTGCTACGGAGCCGCGCGCCGGTCGGGAGTTGCGACTCAGAGAGAAAGAGAAGCGGGCTGAGCCGCCGCGCCTCTCGCCGGGCACGTCGGCTCCCCGTCGGCCGCCCTGGGCGACGAGCGCGGCGACACACGACGCGTCGACGACAAGCCCCCAGGGGCGGCAGCGCTCACGGCCGCGGCCCACGGGGGACGAGACTTTTGAATGACAAATCTTATATGGGTGCGGTGCGGGGGCGGAGGGAACGGGAGCTGCGGCCGCGGAAGGCGCGGGCCGGGCGGCTCGGCTCGGCGCAGCGCGGCTATATGTCCCGCCTTTCTCACGCCTGCACCGCCGCGCCGCTGGAGCCACGGCTGGACCGCAGCTCAGCATCCCATTCCCGGCCGCACCGCGAGGCTCTGGAGAGGATCTTCCCAGCCAAGCAGAGCCGAGCGCACGTGTGGTGTGCTTGTCTTATCACAACCGCCCCCGTCGCGTCCCGTCGTGGCGGAGGAGGAGGCCGGACTACTCCAAGTCGTGAACCGCTGCTCCTCTCGAACATGAACAACAACAACAACAGCAGCAGCAGCAGCAGCAGCAGCAGCAGCAGCAGCAGCAGCAGCTACAGCATCAGTTCGTCGAGCGCGTGACGTGGCGTCCCGCCCCGAAGAGGCTTCATGGCGGCGCGGTGAGGTGGGGCGCTGCGGGGGTCACAGGTCATCGGGTCGGCCCCGTCGGTCCCGTCGCGAGGCTCGAGGGCCGCCCGCCCGTTGCTCCCTTTAGGAGGCGAGCCACGTCCCCGCCGACCCCGCCCACCACCGCCCGCCCCGCGATGCCGGGGCCAACCAATCTGACCCCTCTCTCCCCCTCATTCTCTTTCCCCTCTCCCGACTGCCATGCCACCATGCCGACTTTGTTTTGCGCCCCAATCCACCGATGCCGGCCGCCTGCCTGCCTCCGCGAGCGTCCGCGAGGCTCCAGGAGGAGGCATTCCGGTGTAATTTGGCTTCACCGACCGAGAATACGACGAGCCGCTGCGCTGCTGGGCTGTAGCCTCGGCCGTAGCTGCGCTGCCGCCCGGACTGACCGCCTCCGAACCCTTTATCCTGCGAGTTGGCCCGGGCCCCGGGGGTCCGCGACGGGGCCCCACGCCCCACGGGGTCCGATGTGTGTCGCCACGCGGCGAGATCCAGCCGATCCAGCGCGGGTAGAGAGAGGGCCCGCTCACAAAAGGTCAGCCCCGGCCGCCGACGCATCTGCCTGGTTGCCTCATCAGACATCCCCCGCCCTCCCCCTCACCTCGCCCCGCTGGTCCTTGCCCACGTATGGGTCCCTTCCCTTGAGGACATGTCCCCATGAACGGGAACGGTGCACTACAGCATACTGCAGTCTCTACTTACTGCCTTTTGCGGCCGACGGAGGGGCCTCAGTACCGACCCAACACTCTGTGGGAGCGACAGACTGGGAATAAAGGCCGTTTGCCTAGCCGTCCGCCGGCCCCGTGCGGGTAGGCAATCCGTCCTCACTCGTGCCGTGCGGTACAGCATGACGGCGGACTTCCACGGGGGCCCCGCAGCCACCTCATTCTCTCGCTGTATGTTGTCAGTACTGCTCCAGAGCTCTCTCTTTCACTGGATCTCATTGCCCTGGAATGGAAGGGATCAATCAGTGGCGCAATGAGCCGTGGCCGCCGCCCTGGCCGCCGCTCTCCCACGCCTCCTGCTGCTCTCCCGGCCCGGCCCGGCCCGGGCTGGGCCCCTCACGTGCTGACCCCTGCAGCCCCCAATGACTGCCACGGGATCTCCCGCCTCCTCCTCCTCCTCCTGACCGACACGACCTGACCCCAGGAGGAACATCCAATCTCATTATTTCGTGTGTTTTTTGTGTGTTGCAGAGTGACGGTGCCCGGCTACCCGGCGCTCGCGTCCATCGCGCCGCACCCGGGCCACATGTCTGCGTGGGAGCGGTTCGGCGTCGAGCTCATCCTCAGCTTCCTGCTCGTGCTCACGTACTGCGGCGCCACGGACGGCCACCGCCGCGCCCTGGGCAGCGCCGGGCCCGCCATCGGGGCCGCCTACCTCGCCTGCACGCTCGTCTCGGTAAGCATCCTGTTGGAGCGGTCGTCTATTTAGTGTTCACTATCTACCGGGCAGCACGTCGACGGGCGTGTGGCGGGGGCGGGGTGGGAGATAAGGGAGGTGCTGGGGTTGACGTCAGCCCCGGGCCGGGCCCACACCTTAGGGCCCAACACGAGCCCTGCACGTGCACGGGCCTCCAGGGCCAAAGGGGCCAAAGGGGAGGGGGGTTGCACAGGGAGGGATCCAGAGAGAGGGGGGG